AATTGGTCATAAAGTGATAATTGTAGAAGCTGTGGGTTTGGGAAGTAAAGATTCACTAAGCTTTTCTGCCTACTTTTGAATATGTGTAAAATTTTGCGTCATAAAAGTTAATAACCAGGGCCAGTAGATGACGTAATTGTTAAACCACTGGACTCCCACATGGCTGACTGTGATTCAAGTTCCAGATCTGGTAGTTTGAAAAAGTATGCTGGGTATATGTGTGTGCATGCCCAAAATCCCAAGAAGAGAATGGAGGAAAAGGGATTGCACATGGCCATCCCCCCAGGGGTGATTTCTCACCTCTCCTCTTACTGTCTCTCTAGTTCCCTCTGTGGTGTGGACACGTGTTCTATGGCAAAAGCCAAAACAAAAGAAAAAACTCGAGTTAATAACTGAACGAATGGCCAAGTTAATAATAATCCTTAACATAAGTTGAGCAATTCTATGTGCCAGGCACTATTCTAAGTGTCTCATTTACATCATCTCATTTGATTCTCACTCTGCAAAGAAAATATTAATAGTCTCATTTACAAGTAAGAATCCTCCTACTCTGATAGGAAACATAACTTGCTCATGTGTTCTAAAAACCAGGTGCTATATCCAGGTTTCCTTTGATTTCAAAGTCTATATTATTGCTTTGGTCTGAAGGTTTTCATTTTCCAGCCCAAAAACTTATGTTGAAACCTAATCACCAATGTGCTAGTATCAGGAGGTAACGCCTTTGGAAGGTGATTAAGTCACAAGGACAGAGCCCTTGTGAATGAGATTAGAAAGGGGCCTAAGAGAGAGCCCTAACTCCTTCTACTATGTGAGACACAGGAAAACAGTGCTGTCTGTAAGTCAGAAATGGGCCCTTACCACAAGCATCAAATCTGCTTTGCTCTTGGACTTTGCAAACCCCAGAACTGCAAGAAACACGTTTCTAGTTGTTTATAAGCTGCTCACTTTATGAGTAGCTTTTATGGGTAGTATTTTTTTACAGCAGCCTATACAGACTAAGACAGTTTTTAATCATGATTTCAAGTGCAGTCAGCAAATACAGGTTAAAAGCCTAATAAGGCACTGATAAGGTGACATTGTTTAGAAGATGCTTAGTGTCAAGTAGATGGAGAGCAAGAAAATATTTGTCAGACTGCAAACGTTTACAAATCACGAGCGGTACATCATTTCAGTTCTCTAGATCTCAGGGTGAGATTGTGGAACTCCAACCTGCAAATCTTAGAGAAAAGTAGGGACACTCAAATGAAGTCATTTAAGTAAAAGTCATTATGAACAGTAAAGTGCTCTATAAGTGAAAAGGACAAATGCAATAGCAATAATAATGTGGTTGAAGATGAAAAGCTCTTGGCCCACATGAAAGATAAATTTTAGTACACTATATCCTATTCTAAGCTCTGTGGCTTTTTTCCCTCATGAACGTTCCTTCAGTGAATTCATGTGTAGTGAGGCTGACCCTAAGAACAGTCACAATGGCGACACTTCCGAGTTATTGCGGGGAAACTCAGTCAACACAGTGAAGGCTCCTCTATCTTAGAGACTGTGCTTAGTACGCAGGGAAAGTCATGAATGATGACGGGGAATTATTTTCGATGTAATGACTAGGAAATTGTGACATGATTTGTTAATAAGGAGACAAGAAGATGGCAATGGTTGTACATTGACCTCCAACATGATAACTCTTGGGCATCTGGTTCTATGTGATCTGCCCCGACCCCCACACCCTGTGCATACATTCCATAGTCTGGTCTCACCAAAAATGCAATTTCTAGGAAAGTCATGCCATCTCACTGCCTGCTTCTCACAATTCTCATGCAAAAACATTCTTTTCTCACCCCATTGTCTGGCTCTTAATTGTTCTTCAAGATTCAAGTCAGCTCTTTCTTTGGAAGACTTTCCCGATTCAGATCCAAGTTGAATTCTTTTTCTTTTCTTTTTTTTTTTTTTTGAGAGAGGTTTTTGCTATAGGGCACGTGCACTCACCAGAAAGACAGAGAGAGACAGAAACAGAAAGTGAGAAATCACCCCTCACGGGGGATGGATATGCCACAGTCCCTTCTCCATTCTCCTCTCAGGATCTTGGACAAGCACACACGCCTAGCATGAGTTTAAGCCACTGGATCCAGGCCTCTAACCACAGTCAACTTCATGAGAGTACGACACAGTCATTACACCAACTGCTGGTCCCCAGATCCAAGTTGAATTCTATATCCTGTCTTCGGCTTCCATAAAATCATATGACTTCCAAACTGTATTCTAGTCATCTATTTTACTCAGTATCAAGTGCTACTGAAAGCAGCATTGACTTTCATCCCTTTCTCTTTCTGAAGCCTACAGAAGAGCAAAGCACACAGTAGGTGTTCTGGGATTATCTAGTGAATGCAATAATAGTATGTCATACAAATATTATTTAACCTACTTCTATTTTAAGGGGTTATTTCATCCTTTGGGGTTTCTTTGTTGAGCAATGCCTTTGTTGTGAACGTGCAAACACAGAAACAGCAGCCTGAGACTACATGGTTATCACAATCAATTTGAGGGAGCACAAGATCAGGGGGCATAGCTCTATTAGTTATGTAAGACCAATTGCTATAACATATATCATCATTGAATTAATACAATGGAAGTTTATTTCTCACCCACATAAAGTTTACTTCCCACTCATGAACCTCCTAGAGATGATTTTGATAGCAAGGGATAGAGATGTGGATTACACTTAGGGATAGTTCTGCTTCACACACGTATACTGGAAGCCATACATACCTTAGAGAAGTTTTCAATACCATCTGCAGTCCTTGGACTTCAACGTCATGCCAGCAGGGGGCGAGAGAGAGGACTGTCTGAAGGAGGTTTTCACAAGTCAGGTCATTAGGCATTGGTGCATATCACTTCTACCCATATTCCACTGACTAACCTCATTGTTTGCTACACCTGACTGCAAAGGAACCTGGGAAATGTAGTCTAGCTATGTGCCCAATAACAAGAGAAATCACCTTCAAAAACCACTAGCAATCTCTGCTGCAAGAGCTGTAAAGTGGGGAGTACCAAAAATGAGGATGAGAATAGGCAAGAGAAGAGAGAGGGGAAGAGAAGGAGGTAAGAGAAGAAGGGTGAAGGGAAAATGGGAAATAGCAAAGGAGAGTTGCAGGACTGGTGTAATACAGCCTCTACTCCACTGTGCCTCCTAAAGTCTCCAGTGTACTACATTGTTCAGAATGATTGTCTGTGAGTGGGTGTATCAGAAAAGGGACTAGGACTAAAGAATGATGACGAAGCTAGCACATGGGTTATAGAATGAAAAGCTGAAGAAACTGCATGCTTCTTCCAAGGATGATGCTCATTATCAGAACAAGACTGACACTCCTTTTGGCTAACTGCCTCTGGATCCCATTCTCAGAACTTCCAAGGAAATCACAGTCTTTTTCCCCCCCCCCTTTTTTTTTAAAGGAAAAGTCATTAAATGAAGACCCTAGTAATGGAATAGCTGATTAAGACCTAGTCTGTAAATCTGTGTCTCTCTACTCTACCCACAGAGTTAAACATGAGACAAGAAAATGTGAGCCCTGGAGCACTCAGAAATTGAGAAAGCAGCTTTCGTTTATCTCCTGTCTATTATGCACTTGCTTTATCTCACTAAATCCTCCTAACCCCTCAGCAAGGTATGTGTCATTATCTCCATTTGCAGATGAGGAAGCTGCAATTACGAGAGCCACATCACTGGTAAGTGGCAGAATAGGAGTAAGAATCCAGGCTGTTAATAGTTATCAACAGAAATAATAAAAGGTAACATTTACTTAGTACATCCTATGTGCCAAGTAGGATACTAAGAACTTTAACCAGCATTATTGAATTTTAATCCTCAAGACAAACTATGAGGACGGTACTAAGTAGTATCCCAGTTGTGGATGAGGAAATTGAAATAGAAAAGGCAAATCTTTTACCCAGTTTTCTTAGCTATTAGGCACTAGGGATGGTATTTGCACATGCATCTTCTGACTATGAGTTTGTTGGATTAATCTTCTCTCTCCCCACTCTCCAGCCCAAGACCACCTCTGCCAATTACATGCCTTGGCTTTCTCACAGCTCATTGCCACACACAAATCCCCAGAGGAGGGAATATATTTCGGAATCTTCACATCTCAGAAGATCATTTTACGATCTTCCCATTCCAAATGACCAACTATCCCAGTTTGCCTGATACTATCCTAGTATTAACTTAGAGAGACCTTCATCCTGGGAAACACCTCAGTCCTCAGCCAACTGGGGCTGTTGGTTACCCTACTTCTAACTCTAAAACCTATGAGTTTATGAACCTTCTGTGAGACTCTCTTTCTACTTTGGAAAGAGAAAGATCAGTTGTACAGACCCTTAGAATTTCACCTTTTCTCTCCACTAGTCAGAGGTAAGTGACAAGTCACCCACACTACTTTTTCTTTTCAACCCACCTCCTATAACTGGCTATGGAACGCATGTGAAAAATCTGACACCCTTGGTGTGAATGAGGATCCATAGCATTCAATGAGTTGTATAGTTTTATTGTCTGAAGGCTTTAATGGGAGTCCATTCTACATTTTTTTGTAAGTCATCTAAGTAGTGCATTTGAGATTAGGCACCATTAGACATTAGCAAGTCTCTCTGACCTGTGCTGTTTCTGGGGCCATATTGGCTGCACATATTTGAACACTGTTTAGATTATGACTCTAGATTGTCAATTTGAATGTGGCACAGAAGTGAGTTAGCTTTAGAGTTGCCATAATCTGAAATGAGAGCATGTTAGCAGAATTTCTGAAGAGGAAAAGTCTTCCTGGGTAAAATCTAAAATTTAAGCAAAAAACAACTATTACCAATTGCCTCATGCTTCTGAGGTTTTATTTTAGGATTTTAGTCCTTGAATGTACCACCTGTAACAAAATTTGGCATCCTCTGTATGTTAATCAACTTGGGCTGCTATAACAAAATACCAAGCATTGAGTGACTTAAATAACAGACTTTTATTTCTCACAGTTCGGGAGGACGGGAAGTCCAAGATCAAGGTTCCAGCTGATCTTCTTTCTAGTATGAGCATTCCTGTTGATTTACAGATGGTGACCTCCTCACTGGGCCCTCTCTTGGTGGAGAGAAAGAGAGCTCCTGTGTCTCTTCCACTTTCTCTAAGGACATTAATTCCATCATGGGAGCCCAGTCTCACAAGTTCTTCTAAAGCTAATTACCTCCCCAACTTCTTCTAAACAGAATTATTTCTTCCAAATACCATCACATTGGTTGTTAGGGATTCTCCATAGGCGGTTTTATTTTTGTTGTTGCTTTTGAGGGGAGCACAATTCAATTCATGATGCCCTTTTCAAGGAACTCCAGAGGTTCTTCCTCAGAATTAGTAATAGGTCCCCACTGTGCAGGCTTGTCCAAGGCTCTGCAATTGATTGTGCTTCTCCTAGGGCAGATATGGAAAGGGTTCGGGGGGGGAGGGGGGAGGCAGTTTTGTTTCAATAAAGTTCTTATTTTGGAATAATTTTAATTTTACAGAACACTGTAAAGATAATGCAGAGAACACCTATATTCCATTTACCCAGCTGCTCTTATCATTAACATCATACATTACCACAGTACAGTTGTCAAAGCTAAGAAACCAACATCAGTGGTTATTTTTGATAAAACTCTCTTTGGGGATTTTATCAGTTTTTACATCAATGTCTCTTTTCTATCCCTAGATCCAATCCAGGAAACCACATTGCATTTAGTCCCCTCTAGTCTGGGACAGTATCTTAGCCTTCATTTATGTTTTGAGAATCACTGGTTGGATATTTTGTAGAATGTCCCTCAATTCAAGTTTGTTTCATGAAAGGCCCAGTTTTTAATCCAGCAATACATTAGCCTGGATTTTTATCTTTCTCTGACAAGGTGACCCATGGATAAACAGGGTCTTGGCTTCTCTATGTAGTATCATCTACTTTATGAACAGAATTTCTATAGTTGCGTGTTACATCCTGTTCTCATTTACTGAGGTACGGAAGGCTGTCTAACCCAGAGGAAAGCTTGTAGGCTTTAGATCGATGGAAGCCTAGACTCAAATCTTGACTTCATATTTACTAACTTCGGTCTGCTATGAGGCTCAATTTAGTCTTACACACACACACACACACACACACACAAAGAACGAAATGTTGAGTTCAGAGTACAGTCATGAAGATTAGACAAGCTATGCATATGGCATTTGCAATATTATGTAGCACATGTTTAATTATCATCGGTTTATTCCTACTACATGGGTTCACTTCAGTCACTTTCTTGTGAGCTGGCCTCTGAATAGCATCTGTTGCCTTTTGTTTAGAACAGAACATATGGAAAACACAGACTGGGGTGACTGACTACCCATTTCGCAAAGCCCCCCAATAGCCTTGTCTATGTGATTCACTTTTTTCTTATCGTAACAGACCCTTTCTTCCTAATCATAGGAGAAACATGTAACCTATGTAGGCAAATAGTAGGGCCCCTCTTCTCTGGCTGTTGGAATTGGTCCAAGCCCAACCAGTCAAAATTCTTCCATGAAACTTTTCTCCTTCCAGTTATTAAGAGAAAGTTCTCTGTCCTCTCTAGTCATGTAGTTATAAAGATGAACTACTCATAGCCACTCTTTCTGCCACGTGCAGCCTCAGAGCAGGACACTGGCATGTGGGAAGAGAGGACTCTAAGAGATGGAGAGGAAGTTCAGTGGAATTCTAACACTTGACTGCCATGATCCCTGAGGTCAGTTCACGTTCAGCCTTTCCCCAGATTGGTGACTTATGCAAATAATTTTTTTCCTTAAGCTAGTTTGGGTTATATTTTTATCCAATGCAATTAAAAGAATTCCAATACATTGTCTTTCTGAATGGTGTTGCTTTCTGTCACCTGTTCAAGGTGATTGGTTTCAAAACCTGTTCTCTTGGGACCAGCAGATGACATAATGGTTACTTTTCTAGACTTCCACATAGTTTTCAACAGTTCAAGTCCTGGACCTGGCAGCTTAAAACTCATGTCGAGCATGTGTGTGTGCATGCCCAAAATCCCAAGAGGAGAATGGAGGAGAAGGGACTGCGGTATGGCCATCCCCCCAGAGGGTGATTTCTCACTTTATGTCTCTATCTCTGACTCTCCGGTGAGAGTTAAAAAAAAAAAAATCCATGTTATCTTTTCCTCCATTCTTTGTTGGCACCAAAGGGTTCTGTTTCTGGCCCTTTTTCTCAACACTGATTCTTTTTTTTGTTTGTTTTTAAGAGGTTTTGCTATAGGCTGCATGCACTCTTTAGAAAGACAGAGAGAGACAGAGAGATAGAAAGCAAGAAATCACCCCTCAGGGGGAATGGCCATACTGCAATCCCTTCTCCTCCATTCTCCTCTCGGGATCTTGGGCACTCACACACACACACCCAGCCAGGTGTGAGTTTAAGCCACCAAGTCTAGGACTCAAACTGTGGTCGACTACATGGGAGTCCAGCAACATAGCCATGACGCCAACTGCTGGTCACAACACTGAGTCTAAAGTTAAAAATGTAGATTACTGTGACACAGACAGCCTATTAAAGGAGCAAGAGTCAAAACCTTTAGACGCCCGTCTATGAGGATAAGCTGAGAAGAAGTGAAAGCCTGTGTGATGGCCAGCATTGTTCAGACGTGGACTTCGGAGCCCATCAGGCCTGATTCAGACCCTGCCTCTGTCACTCACTAGTTGTATGGCTGTAGGCAACTTAACTAATTTCTCCGAACTCCAATCTTTTAACTTAAAAATACATTTTTCAGGGACCAGCAGTTAGCCTAATGGCTATGTCGCTGGACTCCCATGTAGTCTACCGTGGTTTGTGTCTCGGACCCGGTGGCTTAAACTAATGCCGGGCGCGTGTGCATGCGGGCCCAAGATCCCAAGTGGGGGATGGAGGAGGGGGGATTGTGGCGTGACCATCCCCCCTGGAGGGTGATTTCTCGCTTTCTGTCTCTCTGTCTCTGTCTTTCTGGCAAGCACACCCTATAGCAAAAACCTCTCAAAAAAAAAAAAAAAAAGCAAAAACATTTTTCAGGCAGTTTTTGTGTGGATTCAACAAGATATTATAGGTATGATGTCAAACATTGTGCCTGATATTTTGCTGATGCTTAAGTTTATAATATCAATTAGCAGTAATGAAGATTAAATTCTTTGTTAAATGCCTGAGTCCACCAATCCATTTTAAACTTGTGAAAGATGAGCTCGTCAGACTTCGTGTGTATCCTGAGGTAGGATGAAGCACACTGATCACAAAGTGCTCTTGTCAAAACAAAAGAGGTGTATCTGAATCAAATCAAGCCTTGGGAGCTCACTTATTGGACGTAAGGCATGTGACAGAGAAGCCAGCGAAATGAATCTACAGGAAAGCAAAGAGACACATGCAGGATGTAGGCCATAGTAATGGACGGATGCTTTGATTTACACAGTTAATCAATGACAAAGGGAGAAAACATAGGGGGCGGAGGAAGACAGAGAGAGGGAGGGAGAGGAGAGGAATGAATTGTGGTTATCCTATTATCTCCCCATATACCCCAGAGGTACTTGAAATAGCCGTGGATTTAGAGCCAGATGACCTGGGTTCATACTCTCCATCAGCTACTGTCACTACAGAAATGGGGGAGACTGGTCAAGGGATGGGAAGGCAAGAGTTACTAAGTCTGAAGTGAGACAATGTATAAGAAATACATACATAAGATGTTGTATGCATTGTCTCATTTAAGTAGCAATGCAGAGAGTTACTGTAATGCACACCATCTCTCTCCCTTGCTCAGGCTGCTGCAGGTGTTTCGAGCCTTTATGTAGTCTGTTTCTTCCCATCCATTAATTCGTTCATTCAACAAAGTTATACTAGTAACATGTGCTCTGGCTGGAAGCTAGCATAAAGACAGTAAGAACAAGTTTCTGCCCCAGGGCATTCATGGCACAATGAAAGTATCATGGGCACATCAGGATATAAAGGTAGATATGGGACCAGCAGATTGGGTAATGGTTACATCGCTGGACTCCCACATAGTAGACTTCTGTTTGAGTCCTGGACCCAGCAGCTTGAAACTCACACTAGGCTTGTGTGTGTACGTGCCCAAAATCCCAAGAAGAGAATAGAGAAGGGATTGTGGCATGGCTATGCCCCCTGTGTGGGGATAATTTCTTGTTTTCTGTCTCTGTCTGTCTGGTGAGTGCACATGCCCTATAGCAAAAATCTCTCAAAAAAGAAAAAAAAAGGAAGAAAAAGAAGAAAGAAAGGCAGAGGCAACAAAATGTGGTCCAGGTTTAGACAGGCAGATACTGTTTCAAAACCAGCTCTGCCACTGGGCTTTGAATTCACATGAATACACTTTCCACCCTTTACACTCTTGCCCTCAGCTCTGGGAGACTGACCTACAGGAACAATTTCAGTGGGCTCTGTGCCCCCTGGCTCCCTACTGGATTTGGCCCCCAGACTCTGGAGACAGAGAGAAGCTGGCACTAACACTTTCTCCATTCAGGGTTGACTTTGTCCTACAACCTGAGGTCCCTGATCCTCTCAAGGTAGCCTTCTGGATACAATTCTCTCCTTCCCTTCTCCAGATAATCTGTGAGTGATAACCCTCCCGCCAGCTAGTCCTAGACTACTGCACTGTCCCTTGTGGTTTCCTCACACCTTTTAAATAATCCATTATTAAACTCCTTTTGAAGCAGCCTCCTTTGTGCAAATCATCAGATTCCTGTTGGGACTCTGACTAATCCATAGGGGAATCTTGGGCAAGTCTTAAACTTCTTGAGCCTTTGTTGACTTGTCTGTAAAACAGGATTAAGTATAATCCATGCCTCCTGGTCCTAGGCAACTTCAGTTAAGAAGAATGTTGTGGAATGAAAGAGAACTGGTTGGGATTTTAATCTTACTTTGGCTCTTAAAAGCTGAGTGACCTGAGGCATTTTGCAACTTTACAAGCTAAGGGATGTATAGTGATCCCTTTGCAGCTCAGTTCCTTGTGGGTAAAAGGACTAGAGCAAATGTTCAGGGGTAGCTGGCTGAGATCTCCAACATGGGAACAAAGTGAAGGAACTATGCACCACTCTGGCTGAGAACTGCCAACCCATGAGGTATAACGACCCCAACAACTGTTTATGGAAAGGCTAGAGCCAGGACCAACAATTGGCCTAATGGCTATGTCGCTGGACTCCCATGTAGTCAACCGCAGTTCAAGTCCCAGACCTGGTGACTTAAATTCATGCTGGGCACATAGGCGTGTGTGCCCAAGACCCTGAGAGGAGAAAGGAGGAGAAGGGATTGTGTCATGGCCATCCTCCCTGGGGGTGATTTCTCGCTTTCTGTCTCT